CCGCTGTAATCCTTCTCTAATAACCATGAAAAAACAATAGGATCCATACTCATACATTGTTCAGTCTGATGCGATATGGAAGTCACATAAAAATTTCGATAGAAAAATAAGCTAATTCTCATTATATCATCAACAATGGCACGCAGTTTTGAATGATTTTCCTGTTTCTAATCAAATGGTCATAAAAACTCAAGTCCGGTCCAATATTTCACCTTATATTCAATTTTAGTCCATTAAATGTGGCAAGAAATGGATCATAATTGACCAGAAATCAATAACGCGAACTAACAAACAAATACACAAACGGGTATTCTTCTTTCTATGTATAGATTTTCTAAAATATACAAATTTTTTATTAACAAACTCTACGATTTGAAAGCGAACAGTAGCAACAATTTTTGAAATAAAGAATTTTTATCTCCAACGCGTGACACTGTTGCCACTCGGAAAAATGGGTGTGAAAATTAGCGCTTTCAAAGTTTTTAATGAATAGTTTGGCTGATTAAAGTCGCACGAAGATGGGAATAGTCGAAATGGCTTCCCACGAATTTTTGAAATCGGGAATAATGTATGTAATGTTTTGCAATGCTATTTTTATTTCAGCGTAAAACTTTGAAATTTTTTATTAACAAATTCTAGGATTTGAAAGCGAGCGGCAACAACTTTCGAAATAAAGCAGATTTTCATCTCCAGCTTGCGAAATTGTTGCCACTCAGAAAAATGAGGGCGAAAATTATCGTTTTTTCGAGTTATTAATTAATATCTCATTTTAGTTTCTTTTTAAGTGGACCTCGACCTTTACCAGGATCTAGAAAAGAATCGTAGGAAGCTTGGCGACGATAGCTATAGTAGTTGACTGAGTTATTAGAGGACAAAAATACATATTTTCTTCTTTACATGTATTGATTCTAAGTCTATGGGTAAAATGGAGAAGCTAATCAAAACAGATACAGTGAATGATTTCGCTTGGGCCCAGCCGAGCGGTTTTAATTGCTGAATACTGGTAGTTTCGACTTGCGTTCGAATTCAAGCTAACGGGATGGCTGCATGGCCGTTTTCGTGAGTTTCCCGAAGTGTAACGTGTGTACGAGTCAGTCCTTAAAAAGTCCTCCACGAAGTCATCCTTTCCCTTAGGCAGATAGCGGTAGTGCGCTTTGCCATAATAATAAACGAAACTAAACCTATTTCGCATGGTCCGAAACTTTATGCGCTATAGTATATGAGGTTTCTATTTATTATTTATTATTTATTATTTATTTATTTATTTTAGATATTATTATTTATTATTTATATTTTATTATTAGATTATTATTTATTATTTATTTTATTTTATTATATTATTATTTATTATTTATTATTATTTATTTTGTTATTATTATCTATTTATTATTTATTTTATATATTTTGCTTTTTCACAAGTTCGAAAATCGAGAGTCCAGTTAATTACGACTATTTAAATTACTTTTTGCTTTTCATTTGGTAATTAAAAGTTAATATTTATTTTTAGTTTATAATTATTTTTATATGGGAATTATATACATCGTATTTTTATGTAGATTAAGTTGTTACCATGCAGTTTTCTCAAAGTTGCATAAAGAAAGTAAAAGGCTTTCGAAAATTAAAGTGTGCAGTAGCTAATTGTAACCCTTGGGACTTTGTAATCAATAATTTCCTACGATATGTACGTTCTTCTATTAAACAACAAATACTCTTTTCAAGATTAGAATATTTTTAGAAATGTAAAAGTAAAATGTTTTACATTAGTATGACAATTTTATAATACTTCAAAGGACGTTGAATGCAAGGATATCTTATTTATTTTTTTTTATTTCTATATTTATTTACAGAGTGCATATTCCATGTTTAAGTAATATTTCTTTTTGTTCAGGAAAAAATATATTTTTATCTCCTTTTCTATGTTTTTTAAATTCTTTTATGCCCTTCTTCTTGTTGTCAGAAAAAATTTCTTTGTAATGCAAATATTTATTTTGCCTTATTCAGAATACTGTTTTTTTCCCCTTCAAGTCGGAAAATAACATGTTTCAAAGGGTGTTTCAGAAATGTAATTTAGGTATAGCATAATAGCGAAAAAGCAATTGTTTTCTAACTCTGAAAAAGACTGTTCTTAAATGAGAAAAAGAATAATGATAATTTTCCGTGCTTTTGAACAGGGAAAACAATCTGTATTTCGTGATTTTCCTTAATAACCTCGACTGACAGAATTTTTTTCCCCCAGAAGACATGTAATCTATTTTCTCTCATTACTCCTTCATTTACAAGTAATAATAATCTTTTTTAAGGTTTAATGCTTACATTAAAATGAATTTGTAATTAATATGAGTTGCATTACTGAAAACGCAAATTTAATTATTTATTCTAAGATTGGTGAAGATTAGAAAATTGATGTAACGTTACACAATGCATTCAAAAGAGGCTTTTTCTTTTTTTTTTAGAATTATTTTCTGAAATGCTGATTTTAGACGAATTACTACATTTCTAAAAATAAAGTGTGGAGTTAAATGAAAATATTTCCGCTATCGTAAGTGGAAAAACAAATCTAAATATTTTTAACGGGACTCGGAACCTTTTGTTGTTATTTAAGAACTTTCTTTTACTTTTTAAGAATATTATGAAGTGGTTTCGTAAGTCAAAAATGATCTTAAGCTGAAAAAAAATTTTTGCCATTATATTTTCCAAATTAAAATTTTTTGAAGAAAAGTTTTGATTTGTTTATTGTGTTCCCTAGAGTGTTCTTAGCAGCTTTAAGGATCGACTTTGCAATTAATGAATTAGTTTCTAAGAAAAAAAATACAGAAAGCACATTTTCATGTAAAAACTTATGTAAAAAAGTATGATCTCAAATAACATTTTCAATAGCATTAATTTTTCTTTTCATTATTTTGGAAAACCCATCCTTGTTTAATGAGCAGTGTGTGTCCTCGCCAGGATTCGAAACTGGACCTGTCGAATTCACGACGTGTTTGCTACCATTACACGCCGAAGGAATGCGGAATTGGGATGGTCTCGTCACTCTGTGAAGTGCATCTTCAGTGGATTCCTTTTCATGTTGAGATATGGGGGAATGAAATGGCAGATATTCTGGCGAGGGAAGATTCTGAAGAACCTTTGCCAATTATCAATTCACTGCTTGTGGACCTTTACGGGACATCTCCTAAGCTTGGTTTTGATTTTTCTAAAGGTGAATGGACTCGTGGACCTCGTCTAGTATATTCCTAGGCATGGAGATTAGTAACAACAACAATAGTAACACAGAATGCGGAAAGTAGGAAGAAAATACTTTCTCTCTTTTAAAAGGTGACTGTAGATTACAGGCCAAATCGTACGGGGAAAACGCCATATTCTGGTTGTAAAGAATCATCATTTACTTCTTTTTTTTAGTTCGGGATTCACTGTAGAGTCATTGGGATTTCTTGAAGCGAGACATGAAAAATGGCCAATACCCTGGCTGGGGCTCGAACCTGGACCTCTCGAATGCGCGCCGAGTGTGCTACCGTTACATCACGAAAGCATGCAGAAAGGAGGGAGAAAATAACTTATAAACAGAGGTATACTAGTCGGTGTAAAAAAAAATTGCAACTTCACTCCTGGCACTAAATATAGTTCACGGGCAGATGACAACTGAAACACATGTTGACGTTATTAATGAGTAAATTGCAATAGTTTACTTTTAGTAAACTTCTTTTTAAGTAGAAACACTTTTCTTTAATTTTTTTGTACATAAAGCACCTATAGCATATTGATCTACTTTGAATATTATTTCAAGATCTATTATTTTAAGGTCGCCATGGGGTTATCCGAAAAGAACCGTATAGATCTAAGAGCCCCGAGAGCCGATAAATTTGAAGCTACTATAATGTACCGCTGCTATAGTGACAATTGCTATAATATAATCAATCCACCCAGCTAGTTGATTAAGTTGTCCAAAACATTCGGAAGTGCTCTTTCAGACAAAATACACAAATTACATATTTCCAAGCCTTTTATGATATGATTTCTAGCTTATTTCATGATGAATATAAATTATTATATGCTTCGATTGTCTACTGGTTAGATGAATCTTGTCTCAAAATGCGGTTTTGATCTTGAATCGTCAATATCATATGACTTCATCTTTAAAGAAAATGGAGAAGTTTGTAAAATTCTTGAAATCTTTGCGCAACAGTAGGGGTCTTGGATTTACGATTTACTAAGCTATTTAAAAAAAAGTTAATTAAATCTTTCAAATTTTATATTACACCCAAAGGGGTGTTTTTTCCCAAGTTTGGTATATTACCTTTATTTAATAAATATCATGTTCTTCGCGCTTGAACCGCACAAAATTCAATTCAACAGCAATATCACAAAATATTTGAAAACATAATATCTTTATAGTTTCCGATAGATAGTTTCGCGCACTGGAGATAATTTTTTATGCAGTATTCACATTGTTGACTTTGAAATCGTTGAGTTTCTTAATCAAAAATTCGTTAACATTTTACAAAATATGAACTAAATAATAGAATATTTTCAACTGTCGGAATTCCAGGTACCCATGTTCGAGTGGAGGATTGCATTATCCAAAATTTGGTGGCTCTAGGTATCGTATCGTTGTTCTTTCACAATGCGAGAATCATACGTACATTCATGCAGATTCTTTTTTATTATTTAAATTCTTTAAGTATAATACAGGATGATAATATTTGATGGCAACAATTTAAAAGGTGATAGGCTATTTACAGTGAACCGACTCAAAATGCCGTTTCCAGACATAGCCGTTCTGTGCTAACGATTCTCTGGGCTAAAATTGATAAATTTCTGGCATACAAAATGTAGATTTATCATTGGTTAGATCTTAAAGAAATTCTTTCAAATGCAGATTAAGAAATTGTTTAATTTGTCTTTTGTTTACGTTTGTAAGCTGGATTAATGGTTTTACTTATTGTACATTGATTTTATTTTTCTATATGAAAGAAGTGATAAATATTTTTTTTAATTTGCAGATTACATCAAAGAACAATCTGGCCAAGAACTGGATGAGAACAGACCTAGCGCGGAATTAACAGAAGCAGAAAAAATTGCTCTGCTCGGCAAACCTCGTCTTGGGGATAATTATAAAATTCAGCTGCGTATCAAGGAGAGTAAGGAGTTTAAAGTAAGTACCTCTTGCTACTTTGAAGATACTAAATTTGACGTTCGACAAGCGCCATATTTACAATTTTATGGTTATAAGAGATCTGATTCTTATTTACACAGTTAATACTGAGAATTGTGGGAAATCATGTATCGCAGTTAAAATAGTATGAATTTCTGATATTTTTTAATTTTCTATTGCTACAAAAATTCTCTCTCTCAAAACAAATTTCTTGTTTAACGCAATATTCGTAATTTCAATATCTTTTGCATATTCTGACTAAAATAATTCAAACCCCAGCCGCCCAGCCAGTATAGTGGTTAGTGACCGAAACGCCGTCGCAGGGATCACCGACCTAAGGTTCTACACCAATCAGAGTTATGCCCATGCGACGGAAAAGATTTTACCATCCACTGCCGGCGGCATATCCTATACAATAATTGTTACATAAATAATCCGTACGAAAAATAAATACACAGTCAATAAATCATTACATTGTCATGGATAGGATCTATATTATGGGGAGTGGAACTTATGCATTAACCAGTTTCTAAACCTATGTCTTCTGCAATACGTCATAACTTCATGTTCTTATCGGTTACACACCTAATGATGTGTGTCCGTATTAGAAGTTATCCGCAGAGTAGGCCAGTCACATCAAGTTCAGGCAGTTGATAGTTCCAGGAAGGAAGGGTTCTATTACGGGGCTCTTAGGCATGTAGCCTTTATACCCACATCGTCAAAGAATTATCTTTATCGCCAAAAAGAGGGTTCCGCAAAGAGGTAAATTTAGTGCCAAAATGTTAATTTAACAAAAAGAGTAACTGCCTTCCACAGTGAAAGGATAGTTCCATAGCCCAAAGTATATGATGTTGTGTAGACTATTCTATGTTCATATAAATTGGATTCTAAATTAACTTTTGATAAATTAGAAGTACACTTTTGTTAAGTTCATTGTTCACGTAAATACTACTTGTCCACTTCGATACATCATAACTTCGTGTCCTTAACAGTTTGCACACCTCATTATGTGTGTCCATAGCAATATGTACACTATTTTACTATTATTCACAGAATCAAATGTTTTGGAAATAATAACTTGGCTCCCAGATGATTAAAATAAAGAAGGAAGAAAACTAATTCTTAAATTTTTTCAATACAATTCTAAACTGTACAAAACTACATATCTATTTATAATGATTCTTATCTATTTAAATCAATTCTTATCTAGGCAATAATTTATCTTAATTATAGAATAAATGCCCTCCTAATTAACATATTCCGGTTTAAAATACAATTATTCTCAAAAACTAAGAAGAGAAAAACAAACAAATAATATAGCAATAACATATAGTTTGCTATTTTAAGACATACCCTTTAACTGAGAACGTAACTCTTTTTTAAAAACAGGGCAAGCGTAAGAATTAGAAGTGTGACAAATGTTGTACTGTGTGTACGTTTCTAAATTTGATCTTAAACAGTTAATTCAAGATGGGCTGTCTTTACAGTTAGGAACTAAATTAATCATGCGTATGGGCCCTGACTGCCGTAGCGATGGGCCTGGGTTCGAATACCAGAGAAGGCATGGTTGCAACGGGTCGTCCCTTCATAAGATTCAACGCGGGTCACCTGTTAAGTCTTTCCATAATGAAATGGTCACCACCGGGTCACCTGTTAAGTCTTTCCATAATGAAATGGTCACCACTTTCGGCCCTTGCAGTGCAACCCTAATGGCTATTAAATAAAGAGCACGGCCATTAAAAAAAATTCAAACTCCATTAAGACAGTTTAAGACTTAGCCATAGCATACTTTTCGGGGCTCATTATTCTCGATGTTTTCCTGAAAAGCAGAGCTATGAGACATTATAAAATAATTAAACGTCTCCTAGAATCCGAGGCTTAGGAGCTAACTCTTTGGCTCAAGTAATAACCTACCCATGTGCACTAACCAATATTCTTCCAGTAACAGTCCTACCAATTGGCCGAGCGGTAAAGTCACTGAACACTGGTTATTCCGTCCAGAGTTCTAATCGCTGTTAACGAGCTGGCTGGATGGGCGTTTTCGAGGTTTCCCCATGTGTAACGTGTATACGAGGCAATTTCTCTTAAAAAGCCCTCCAAGAAGGCATCCCTCCTTTTAAGTAGATAGCACTCCAGTGCTTTGCCGTAATTAAATAAACCAACCAAACTTTCAGAAGTGCATTTGACAGTAGCTGTAAACTTCGGCTTTGAGAACAATGCGTCTGTGTCATGTGGTTCCATTCTTCAAATAGGGCTGAGAAGTAATGTTTCCGTGGTGATATAACCATTTCCTGATTTGCCACTGTTAGCCCGTTTTTTGATTCTAAATTATAATTTGAAATTGGTTATAAAGTTATAATTATTAATACATATACCAGTTGCAATCAAAAGAATCGTTTTGTGAAAAGCACGGTCTTCAAGCGTCATCTGCTTTTAGCATTAATAACCAGGTAGCCCCTTAAACAACCAACAGCTGCAAGATCATATGGCAGCTTTCCACAGTAGGACTATAACCTTTTGCAATTCTTCAATATCGTTCGGATTTTTTCTGTATAAGGAACGCTTAAGGAATTCATAAACAGTAATCCCAAGAGTACATATTCCTGGGGCCCACGCTCATAAATAATCTAGAATAATTGCTGAGGGAAATTCTGCAGTAGAAATGGTGACTCAAATTACCCAAGAACATCTACAAAACGTGATTTTGTTCACTTCTGTTGAACTGTTTGATTGACACAACAACATAATTCTAAATATATCGCGAGTACTAATTCAGAAGTCAAACAACAAAAATCATCGTTATATTTTCAAATTTTCACAGGACTAGCTTCAATGGTTATACCGAACCACAATCCTCAGCTGCAAAAGCGCAAATGAACGAGATAGGATATAATGATTAGATAAGATAAGAAAGCCTGGACAGAAAATAAGCTAGTGGCGCCATCTGTTGACGAAACCAGAAACAAAACAAAATTTATTTAAAGGCCGAAGGCAAAGATGGATTGGAATTAGGATCGTTAACTAGAACAGAAACATTTTTTGAATGTGAAATGCCTCTAAAAAATCCAGTTCTCCAATGGAAGATGTTTTTTGAATAATTTTGGCAGCAGAAAAATTGAAAGTGTAATTTTCGGACCAACAATGTTGGGCAACAGTAGATTTCTGTGATTTTACAGAATTTCTGCAAAATATGTGCTACTTTTATAGCTAATCGATGGAAAGAAGGGAATGACAACAGGATTTTTATAATCTTCTAAAACAAGAGTATGACTTTTAGTGTATTGAGATGAGAATTTTTTAACTGCTTGATTAATAATGTTTAACTGCTGCTTAAAATTATATTTTCGAATTCTCTCTTGTTCTTCTGATAAACTAACATTAGAAATATTAACTATCGGAAAATTATTGGAGAAACTATTGGAGAAATATTAACTATGTTTACAATGTGAAAATTTTTTGAACTACTTGAACTGGAAGACTGTAAAAGAAGTTTTTCGAAATTCATTCTAACCCGGATATTATCATTTCAAAGGCCAAAAAGGTGGCCAGATAGTCGTCATGGATAAGAACACTTACATCGATGGTGTCACTAAACTCTTGAAAGAAGGACCATATAATCCGATCCCTAAAGATCCTTCACCTTCGGACCTGTCAAAAATAAAAACTGCTATCAAATCTTCACAAATTATTTAAACCACTCGCTTATCCCATCTGTTGCGAATTGTACCAGATTATATGCTCTTCCCAAAATTCATAAAAGTGGTATTCCTTTCCGCCCTATTGTATCAAATTTAGGTACTGCCTCGTATCCATTAGCTAAATATTTAGTTTCTAGATTTTCATCTCTGTTAGACAATAACATTTACACCATAAAAAATTCAATAAAGTTTGTAAAAAAGGTTAAAAACATTTCTCCTTGAAATTTACTCATGGTTTCTTTTGATGTAAAATCTTTATTCGCCAATGTTCCGAGGATGCATTAAGATATCTAGAAACCAGACTTCGCGAATTTCATTTCTCTTGCATCGAAATTGATGAGCTAATTTCTCTCACTCAACTCTGTTTGAAACAAACACATATCGTTTTCCAAAATAAATATTACAAGCAAACTGAGAGATTAGCCAGGAAAGCCCTCTCAGTCCCATCCTGGCTGGTATCTACGTGCATTATTATGAATCAAAATTAGTTTGAAACTTTAAACTTCCCGGCATGGTTCCGCTACGTAGACGATACTTTTACCCTGTTTGAAAGTAAGTAATAAAGATGATTTAAATAAGTTCTTTCAACAATGAATTCTATTGATCCTGCTATTCAGTTCACTTTTGAACTTGAGACTTGCAATTCTCTTCCGTTTTCTCGACATTCTGGTCACACGTAACACATCCAACTTCAATACTACGGTTTACCGTAAACCTTCATCGGTTTGCCTTCCACCACACTTTAAATCATGTCATCCGACTAAACAAAAGTTAGCTTTCATTTTATTCCTATGTTTTCCGTGCTCTTCAAGTTTGCTCCTCCAAACTAGCCCTTGATGAAGAACTAAATTATTTAAAAGCAATAGCTATTGACAGGGGCTTTTCACCCAACATTATTAATCAAGCAGTTAAAAAATTCTCATCTCAACACACTAAAAGGCACACTCTTGTTTTAGGAGATTATAAAAATTCTGTTGTCATTCCCTTCTTTCCATCAATTAGCTATAAAGTTGCACATATTTTGCAGAAATTTAACTTTCGGGTTGTTTATTTTCCCATCAATAAAATTCCAAGTTCCATACTCAAGGACCCCATTCCGGATATGAATTCCTGGGGTATTTATAGGATTCCTTGCCAGTGTGGTTTAATTTACATTGGCCAAACTAAGAGAGCCTTAAAATTTCGCGTCAAGGAAACATGAGGGCATATGTTAAAAAAAGGAAACACAGAAGTCTTCTGTTGCCCAACATTGGTGGTCCGAAAATTACACTTTCAATTTTTCTGCTGCCAAAATTATTCAAA